TGTTGCACACTCAACTATGATATATCCTTGTAGAGCTCACATACGAAATTTTCCAACTCCCGCTTTTGTACTCGCCGAGTTCAATGGGTTAATGGCTGTTACTGGGGCTACCAATGTGAAACTGCATAATCTAATATTTGATTTGTGTATACATGATGAAATGCCATAAAGACACCGTTGTCTTATAGTCCCTGAGCTAAATGGGTTGAGATAGCATTTCAACTGGGAAGATAAGCAAAAGCGCAAGATCTTAAAAATAAATAGACTACTTATAGTACATAGAACCTCAAAACCGACTTTGCTTTTTCTTATTTGTCCATTCTCTGAGTTCAATGGGTCGAGTGAGAGAAAAAGCCGACTAAATCGACGTTGAGTTTTAGAAAGTATACCTTTATGGCTATAAAGCTCCATCTGGCAGTGATTTAGCTAGCTTTATCGACCTACGGCTACAGGGTATCGAAAACTTTCAAGTGGCAAGCGGAATTTGAAAACAAACCAAACAAACAGATGTTGGCAAACGTTATATTCGGGGAACTGAATAGCTGAAAAATGAAATTGATAAACGTAATTAATTAAAACTTTGAAGTGTGCAAAACGAAACATTTTGCCAAAAATGCTCTCCCGCCATTGAGTCGGCACTTAAGTTGATTCCATATTTCACGGCATTCGGGATTATGGTTTATGACGGCCAACAAACGTGCCACAGCCAGTACACAGCAGGAGCTGCGGGACGTTGCAGGCCGGCGGGCAGGAGTCAAACAAATGCTGACAAATAGGTCGGCAGAGTGTGGTCATGGACAATGGTCGACAGCTTAACCCTAGCAACAAAACAAAAAAAAAACAAAATATAAGGAAAAATAATAATAAAATAAATGAAAATGTGGTAAATTGTGGCCAAATGGAATGTGGAAAATATTTTATGCAAGATAATAAATCTTTTTGTTTTTGAGTTCTGAAAGTTATGACCATAATTGTCATAATAGCATCAGCAAACACGCATACAATGCTCAGCTCAAGCCAATTGTATAAAATTCCCAAATAGTTTAAGAATTTGTCCCATGAAATAGTTAAGAATCATTAAAGAAGAATCATGAAGTATTATCCAATATGCAAGCCTAGACCAAACTGCCGATGATACTATATCGCAATAATACTCGGGCTCATCCCACTCGGCTTAGGCCGAATAAAGGTTTTTTTTATATTTCCATTTTTGTGCAACAAATATTAGTTGGCTGCATCAATCATTTTTGCTATGGATATTTGGAGAAATAATGAATAATTGTGCGTGGTCTTTTCTCTCTTTTATATTTTTGGAATGTGCAGTTTTGTAGTTTATGTAGTTTAAGCATATCGATAGTCTAATTAAATATACAGAGAGAATGTCGTACTTCTCTGGCTTATCGCTTTCATCGATAACAAACAATAAAAGCTTCAAACAATCAATATTCGAATAAAAACTATGTAGTGCCACTGTAAACACAATATACAATATTATATCGCTTGAACGGTTAACTATCGGTAAAAGCTAACTAATATTCGATTAGAAACTATTTTTAACTATCGATAACACACAATATATAGCCAATCGCTTTTATTTATAACCATCGATAACATCTGCATTCATTCAATATCCCATTTAAAAGTACAAAATCGTTAAGTTATGTCCCAAATGCCATCAATAATAGACGAAAACAAGAATTTAAAAAATATCAATATAAACGATATTATATATTTTGATAAAAATAAACGATAATTTTAAAATAGTTCTCGAAAGCTATCGATAGTAGCCTAATACTAACTGTCCATACTCTTTCAAGAATGCTTTACCTAATGCCATAGAGCTTAAGAGTTGCAGTTTGTTGTTGTTTATCTGATTTCCAAAATGTTTTCTTAACACAATTCCCTTGTATGCTTTAACAATGTCGGCATTCTAGGGTTAAGCTAGACAGCAGTGGGCAGGAGAGCGGTTAGCAGTGTTGGCAAATGAACATGACACAAGTGCATTTAACAAATTAAAATAGTAACCAGAACGACGCGGATGCGATAATAAAGCTGATGATGCCACTGGGTCAGTGTATGGGGTCTGGCAATTTCAACTGATGATGATGTTATTGTTGTTGCCGTTGCTGTTTTTGGTAGTGGAAATGAGCAGAGCTGGAATGCAATCCAAGCCGGAACTGACACGCACAAAAGGATATACTATAACATTTACTAATAAATTTCATATTTATGTACGGACATTGCCGTACAACACACGGCGAGTGCAAGATCAGGACATGGGAGCCGGGAACAGGACCAGGTTTCGGACACAGACTGGAGCCTGGGCACGGAACCCAAAGAGCGCACAAAATCAACGTGAAATTGCAGCTGGCTATGTGTGCACTGCGGTGTGTGTGTGTGTGCTTGTGTGTGTGTGTGTGTGGTGGGGTGGACTTGTGGGCGTAGCGTGGGCAACAAAACAGTGCGGTTGGCAATGCAAACAGCAGGGCTGGCCAAATGGAGCAACAGCAGGGGCGTTGGCGGCGGTCGCTTGAAATCACAGCAGGACATAAAAAGGATGCGTGGCAATAAAAATAAGCGAAAACAAACAAACAAACAAACAAACAAGCACACAAGCACACAAATACACAGCGACAGCGAGACAGTTAGTGACAGGATGCAGTACCCAGAATATGGACTAGGGCTGGCGGGTTGAGTGCGGGCATCGCCAGGTCACAGTTTGCTGTCTGGCTGAGTGCATTGCTCTGGAGTCGTTGCCATTGCAAGGTTCACCAAGGGGCGAGCGGGCGGGCGGGCGGTCGGTCGACTGACTGCGATGTGGGAAGCAAATATAAATATTCTTCAGCGCACACAAGTCAATTAGTTTAAAGCCAAGGGAAGGAGAGAGTATCCCAATATCATGTTTTTATTTTTTTCGAATACACAACGTGTATTTAAATATTATGTTCAGCGTTACCTCTCAATTTGCATTATAGACATTGCTTGTCCTGAGAGAGGGGACGGACTTATTGTTGCGGTTTTTTTGGTCCGGTTTTCCGAGCTAGCCGGTTTTGAAAGAAGTACAGATTTTTGTTTTAAAAACAAAACAAGTGCTGTCTTGGAAAAAGAACAATAATATTATTTTTATATTATTATATAGCCCAATAGGAAGAATCGGTCGACGAATGAGATCTTGTGTGCCAAAATATGTTGTTCTCCAAGATATTTTCATCAAACTCTGCATTTACGAGCGCACTTATATGCAAAAAGGAAATGCCTGCATGAAAAGGGCATTACATTTTTGGCGTGTCGAACGTATCCTTACTTTCCCACTCAGTTCAATTAGTAAGTATTTAAAAAGCTTAACGAAAATCGGAATTAAATAGAAGTTGCGCAACTTTTGGTGTTGTCCATAAAATCACAGCTAGTGATACAATAAGTTTTAGATTTGTACAACTTGTTTGCCAAAGAAACAAAACATTTTTTGTTTTGTTTATTTTTATCGGGGGCCTCAATGGCCACATTGCGTAATTGGAAACGGCAGCACCAAAACCGAATCAAATTGATTTCAATTTAAAAATAAATTATCAGATTTGATGCAATAATTATTGACCTCGCCCTCCCACAGCAGCCGCAGACGCAAGCAGATACAATTGCATTCAATTTGCGGTCGTTATGCATATGTATCACGTTTTACAAATCAGCACAAATTATCCGTAAATATTTTCAATAAAATTCAAATTGATTAATAATCATGTGCCCGTTTTGTCATTGCACATATCATACAATTTTAATTATACCCTAAACAGAGAATATGCTAAATAAGTACTATGCCATTAAATGTGCTTTTGCTTAGAAGTACGTAGCTTCCGGTTGAGTGTAATTGCAATAAAGAAATGCACATTTTTCGATTTGACTAGCGAGCCCAACTAAAATATGTTTTTTAGAAGTTGCTTAATTAATATGCTAAAAGATTGTATGCCCAAAAATATTTAACAAGTTTTTCTCTTCTCATGCATTTCTCTGATTAATATAAATATATATATAACTAACTAATTTGCAGGGTATCTGCTCATGCGGCACGCTCCTGCATTATATATTTTTTTCATTCAATTCTTTAATAATGTGTTAATGGATATAATAATATTTATACATAAATAAACAAAATTATTAACACTCCCATATTTAATGCTATTTAATATAACAGCTGTGAAGCGTTTTTGATTACACAATCTCATTTCATGTTAAGTAGCAATCAAAAATGTAAATATTAAAAAAAACAAAAACAAACCAAACTTTAATAATTAATAGTTGTTAATGTGTTGAATGTCAATTTGCATGCTGCAGTAGTATATTAAATATACCACACAAAAAAAAAAAAAAAAAAACAAATCGGGCAATATCAATAGCACAATTGAATAGACAAGCATTTCATAATTTGTTCATACTTCATTCTAATTTTCCTTAGCGCATGCACATGCATATGTTACATACACAAATACACGCATACACACATGCACACGTTTGCCGCTTGAACTGCATCGGAGTTCAGAGTCCGATCTTTTTAAAATGTATAAATATGCCAATCAAATGTGTAAAAATGTCTGTAACTATCAAAGGGCAGGTTTCTAGCTTTTTATAAATGAGTTTCATTTCTTCGATATTTGTTATATGTTACAAAATACTGCATGCCAACTTTGTTGCACCCAGCGCTGATTTTATATTGGATTTGGAAATGAAATGCGATATCAACATGTTAACTCGCCCTGCACATGGCGAAACTATTATGCCCTTTTCACTCAATATTAATTACAATTGAAATAGTAACCACATCACATATTGTAACAGATTATAATCAATATTTTTGCCTAAATAATGCAGCAATTTGAATGTGTTTAATTAGATGATTAAACTTAGGGTACATGTGTTTGATTTATGGAAATAGGTCTATATGTAGATACACATATAAGAGAAATATAAAGAAAATAAATAAATTTAAAAATATTAAATAAAGTATTAAACTAGTTCTTAAATATTGACTGCCCTCAAAGGCAACGGCTCTGTAGTTGTCAACGTAGATTTTCTTTAATCAACGTCCATTTGTTATAACCTGAAAGCATTGCAAATGAGAAAAAAGCGTTTATTGGTTTAGTGTGAATGAATGAAACAGGTAGAAGGAAGCATCTCCGACCGCATAAAGTATGTATATATGTATGTATTGCTGAACAGCATCAATAACCGAGTTGAACTTGCCATGTCCGTCTGCCCCCCCTCTCTGTCTGTCCGCCTGCCTTCCGTCTGACGACTATCTGTCCGTATGTCCGTAAGTATGAACCCATCGATCTCAGTACTAATTGCTAGATCTTGAACGTAGGTCCTCCTATTGCCCGCTAAGTAGGAGATTGTTTTCGATAATCGATATCTTGCCCGTTTCCCAGCAATTGATACATATCGATATCGAAATCCTATTTTTAAGCAAATCTTGTAGGCTACAAGAGCCGGAGTCATCAAATTCAATATGTGGTTTCTATAATAATATACACAGATCAATTATCAATCATTTTATAGCTACAACTAAGTTATGCTAAGCTAAGGTACTCCTAAGGCAAACGAGGGCGCAGTGCGAGCTGCATTTGGTGTTGGTAGAATAAGGTTAGAATAAGGTTAAGGGTATCCCCAAGACTTCCACTATGCTACGCAGTTGGCCACATAATATTGCCAAATGTTAATGATCATAAAAAGGTTTGAATGCATTTAATTAATTAAACATTGCCATAATATATAATTAGCTTTGTCTATTCAAATAACTGCATTATTGTGTTTATCGATAACGATGCAGCCATCGATGACAGCTGCTTGAATATATGAGACAATATTAATTATCTTTGTTTCAATTTGTACAAATGTCTAAGCAGACGATTTACATGCGTCATATTTCAATTAATAATTGAGGCAACCTGAGACAACCTACACCCCCCCCCCCACCCTGCCACACACACACAAAAACACACACACATAGCTGCAGAGCCTGCTTGTGTGCTATATTATATTTGCCTAGGCAACCAATTGGCTTTGACCGAGCGAGATTGACAAACTAACAGACTTTGGCAGCTTGGCAAATTGGGAGCAGGGTTGCCAAGTGTTTGCAAAAGCCAAACTAAAGCTCTAAGCACTTGACATTTCACGCTTCACAGCAGTGGCAATCGAGAGTCTACAAATTCCCAGTGCACTAGCTCGCTATTTGCTTATTTTCGGTTTGGCTCAGGACTCTAGGATTCTTGATTAAACATTTGTGTTATGATATGAATACGTGTACGTACTCATGCCCATGTGTGTGTGTGTGTGTGTGTGTGTGTCCGTGTTCGTGTCCGTGTATGTGTGTACTTAGTGTAGGTGTACTTACATTTCGCTTTGATTGCTATTTACCGCCCGACTGCATCCTTTTAGCCTTGCAGTTTTGATCCTTTAATAGAATATTTAATTTTAATTACAAACATTTGATTTCCCACTTCAGCCATCGCTGTCGCTCTCGCAGACGCTCGTCTATGGCGGGCCACCGCTTGTGTGTGGATATGTCTGTGTGTGTGTGTGTGTGTGTGTGTGTGTGTATATGTGTGTGGGGTGGGGGAGGGAGTGTCTTTAAAAATTCATGTCATATGTCTCTCCACATACCTGCCCGCCACTGCCCGTCACCCGGCTCTGTCGCAGAATTCGCGCTGAATGGCAGGCGAATTGAATGCGTGTGTGCCTCAAAAGCAAAAGCCGTCCAAGTTGAGTAACCAGCGCGACCGAACACCAGTTACCGAGTACCAAATGCTACATACAAACGCTTTTTGTTGAGGCCGAGACTAGAACGCTGACGGCGTCTTGGGCCCTGCTGCGCGATTCCCCATGGAGCACTAAAAGCACGCACTATACACAATTTGAAGCAAATGTCCATTATAATTCGCAACTTGTTTAAGTTTAAGTTTGAAATTAAATGTGACGGTTGGTTGAATCGAAAAGCAGTTCTAGGAAATATTTGCATCGAGTGTAGCGAAATGCAATGTGATCAGAGCTGTGCCTATCGATATGTGCCTGTCCATAATTGCCCTTCAATATGTGCCTATCAGTATGTACCTATCGATATGTGTCTATCGGTAATTGTCTATCGATATGTGCCTGTCGATATAAGCCTAGATGTTTGCCTATCGAAATATGTCTCTCGATATGTGCCATCGATATGTGCCCATCGTGCCTGCCGATATGTGAGTGTTGATATGTGCACATCGATAAGCATTGAAGCGTTAAGCTGTGTACAAATTGTCGAGTGTTTTAGCAAAGCAAAACTAAGCTTTTGATAAGCTCGAGTTATCCTTATGCGACTATCAATGTGCGTTTCTCATGACGTGTCTATCGATAACCGTTATGGAAAGCTTCTTGTTTGGAGAATTATGTAGTTTATGAAATCGGAAGAAAGTATTATAAATTGATGTGTTCATCAATAAGTAATGCTTGGATCTTAGGCATATTATAGAACAGTTGTGCGTATTCCACTTTTCTTTTATCTGTAATTAAAACAAAAACTTATAACAGGTACTCAAAAATCTCACATTACCATACGTAGGCCTCCTTCAATACACAGTTAATTCCTACTACTAAGTCTAGTATACAGCTACATATGAGGTCCTCGACTTGGGCAAAGATAAATAAAAAAAAATCTTTATACCACCTTAAAAAAATTGTATTGGGTGAGTCTTGCAAAATATAAGCCCTATGCGCTACATACGCTTGCCACTTGCTGTCGTCTGTTGCATCTTGTACTCTCTAAGACATACCTTGTCGTATTATAAGCTCTGTTGACAGATGCACATGGCCAGGGGGGAGGCATGATACGATTGAAAAGTCATAGCAATGACTCCAGTAGCACTTGACTGTGTTGCAGGAAGCACATGCAAAGCGTAATGAAAATATGAGAAACTGGGAAATGTTCCAAATGTGAAAATCATGTCTATTAATGCCCGCAGCTAACATCAATTTTTCAATTCTATTTCTTTTTGCTCTCTTTGCAGGTGAGTAGACGCATTCGTATTTGGCATTTTCAATTTGTGCACATCACACTCTGATGGGCATTTATGTGCCCGGTATGCTAGTTGGTAAGTAGTCGAGTGTTGGCAGGGGGATTAAAACCCACCACCAACACTCACAAACACACACTCACACACACACATGCCACCTGTGTACTATCCATCGATTTTGTAGTCAAAGTCGAAAGTTGAAGTTAAATACGATACTTCTCCGTAGATTTTTTTCTTGGTTTTTCATGGTTTTCTTTTCCTACTTTTTTTGTGCTCTGTTTGCCGGTCGCGTTCCATTTGTCAATGTGGAGCACGTACTCAATCTTCTGGCTTGTCAAACTTGCCGATGTTTGTAGCCAAAATATCAAAAAAGAAAAGGAATTTTGTTTGATGTTCCCCTCAAATGTGGGTGCTGCAGCTTCTGCTGCTGCCGACGGCTTCAGGGTTTGCGCAAATGTCAGCTTGTCTTGTATATTGATACACAAGTATGTTATGTACATATGTAAATATGTCTCTATACACACACACACACACACATCATACTAAATGTTCCTACTTACACAAATAGATTCACATTTCCAGGTTTCGCACACTGCTTTGTGACACCTGCTGCAGGAACTTCAGCTTCATCTTGAATTAGACAGAAAATACCAAATCCAGCGATAACAATCAGTTTAAACGCAATTGGCTATCGATTGTTTATCGATTGAGAGTATTTTGTATGGTGCCTAACTATATAAAATTCGATAAAAATCGATTCAATTTTAACAAGTTAATAGAAGCTTTAATGTAGCATTTATATTCAAATAAATATTTAACTTTCAAAACCTAGGACTAGGATTTGCCTCGACTGAGACATTCAACATTTTTGTAAATTTTTAGAAAAAAACATTGACTAAACACCAGCGTTAAATTTGTAAAAGCCAAATAATTAAAGGCTAATTGAATTTTAGTCTATTTAAGCCAAGTTAATTGGATATGAAAGCTTGAGTCTTTGAGATAAGAGCAAGGTAATATATTTTCTAAAATTTTAAAAGAGTCAATAACTCAATTAAACAAAATTAAACCAGCCGCTGAACCAATGCAAAAGAGTCGTTCACCATGTAATTTGCCTCAGATTTCCAAAAGCTCTGCTGGCAGCGAGTAAAGTTTTTTTGTATCGAGCTGCTCGTGTCACGAGGCCGAGTCTAGTGCTCTGAAAATAGTATTAAGTTCATGTGATTCTATTAGCAAAACAAACAAAAACAAATACACACTTACACAGACGCCCCCAAAAATACCAGCACTAAACATATAAACAGCGTATATATGTTTAGATCTATTTATATATATATATATATATATATATATATATATATATATGGATGTGTATGCGTGTATAAAGTGTTGTGTACATATCCATCCACTCACGTAGCACTTGAGCTCTTACTCAGCATCGTTTGCCAGGCTCTCTGTGCCATAACGAAATTACGAAGTTCCTAACTAAACAAGTTGCCAATACATAATAATGCACACAGTCCGACAAAGGGAGGGACATGCGGACGAGAACGGACAGACAAATAGGACCTTCATGTGGGTAGTGGAAAACCAGAGCTCTGGTCAGGACAAAAGACACGTCAGTCGGTGGGGCGGTCGGTTCGGTTCCGTTTGACTGATGTGTACAGTCACTTGTTATTCCCCTCCCCAAACAATGCTCCGCCTTCAATACCCATTGCTTTTCACAGCTGAGTTGCTCTAATAATGCAAATACACAATAAATAAACGTGAATTGCACTACTCAAGCTTGAACTTAGCTTTGAGTCAAATGAAGCGTTGATAAGGGCATTGCGTATAGAAAGTACTCGCTTTATAGGTCTAAGTACAATTGAGTACGCTGTATGCGGAATGATTAGCATAAAGCACTCCATATACGAGCATAAAGTAATATTAATTTTAATCAGGGTACTATTGACTACTTTATATAGCAGTATGAGCACGGGTCAAAGTCCAAAAACTACTCATTAGAAGAACAAGAGCTTTTCGTTTGTCGAGTATGAGTACCAAGACGATCTTTGAGTATGAATGAGTATTTGTAGATTCATTAAGTTTTCTGTATGAATACCAAAAAGAACTCTATGTACTATTACGAGTACCAACTCAGCCATAGAGTATTACTTAACATTTATGATTATTTAGAGTATTCTCCCTTTATACAAAAAAATACTTTATGTATAAGTGGAAGTGCACCTAAGTAAACAGTTTGTCAACATTTAACAACAAAAAATGAAATGTACACGTTATTGTTGTCTTTTCCAATTGTAATGCCAATCAATTTGAATTTTTAAGTTCATAATTTTCAAAGTGAACACCTGCACATGACGATATTATTCATTGGTCTAGTTCGAGTTTCCGATTCGGCCCCATTTGTCAGTCGTTTTTCGCTTAGCTTATCAATTTTTTATTGAGAACCTTTAAGCAAACATGTGCACAAATTTCCATTATTTGGCATTCGTAATTGGTGGGCGGTGTTTGAAAATAGATAAACGAACCCCATTTCGCATGCCATGCATCAGACCAAATAGATTTCGTTATAATGATACTCAATTCGATGTTGCACAATACACTTCGGACGTTTTATATTGTATTTTTTTTTTTTTTTTTTTGTTACTTTAGATGACATTAACCTAGATACTAAGTTTTAATGGCATAAACAAGTACTTGTTCTGGTTCTGACAATCAGCCGATTGCGAACGTTACACAATTTACTTTCTGTCATGAACTTTGGCATTTAAATTAAGAAAGTAAAATGAATATGAAAAATAATTTGATAAACGGGGAAAACAAAGCTATACGCTTATAATTTGTGAAGGTCATGGCTAAAAGCCTTTTATATTTGACGTCACCCAAAACCAAAAAAATACATTCAAATGCCGGCTTCAAAATGGCTTCGAATTGATTCGATTCTAAACCGATTTGCAGTATTGGTAAAGGCTTTAGTTGGCAATTTTTTTGAGAAAAAAGTGATTTGATCTTCACAGCTTCTCCATGTTCAGTTTGTATAAAGTCTATTCTTCATTATCACTCTCTCGCTCTCTCTCTCTCTCTCTCTCTCTCTCTCTCTCTCTCTCTCTCTCTCTCTCTCTCTCTCTCTCTCTCTCTCTCTCTCTCTCTCTCTCTCTCTCTCTCTCTCTCTCTCTCTCTCTCTCTCTCTCTCTCTCTCTCTCTCTCTCTCTCTCTCTCTCTCTCTCTCTCTCTCTCTCTCTCTCTCTCTCTCTCTCTCTCTCTCTCTCTCTCTCTCTCTCTCTCTCTCTCTCTCTCTCTCTCTCTCTCTCTCTCTCTCTCTCTCTCTCTCTCTCTCTCTCTCTCTCTCTCTCTCTCTCTCTCTCTCTCTCTCTCTCTCTCTCTCTCTCTCTCTCTCTCTCTCTCTCTCTCTCTCTCTCTCTCTCTCTCTCTCTCTCTCTCTCTCTCTCTCTCTCTCTCTCTCTCTCTCTCTCTCTCTCTCTCTCTCTCTCTCTCTCTCTCTCTCTCTCTCTCTCTCTCTCTCTCTCTCTCTCTCTCTCTCTCTCTCTCTCTCTCTCTCTCTCTCTCTCTCTCTCTCTCTCTCTCTCTCTCTCTCTCTCTCTCTCTCTCTCTCTCTCTCTCTCTCTCTCTCTCTCTCTCTCTCTCTCTCTCTCTCTCTCTCTCTAATTAAGAACTATTATACAACGAAATATAACCGTAATAAATCATTTGACTTTGACCTCCATTTTCACCTTAATAACAGAGATTAAGGAACTTTACAACACTTGCACCCTTCAGTGTGACATTGTCAATATTTGAATTGTCGTGCAGCTAATTAATTAATTAATTCGAAATGGGCAAGCGAAGGTGTGCATGTTGTTCGGGTTGTTGTTGTTGTTGTTATTGTTGTTGTCGTGGCCTTTGTTGTTATTTTCAATTTGTTTAGTTGTCATTCGATTCGCTTATGCTGCAA